GTACATATTTTCTCCATGAACATTCTAAATTACTTCCCTGCCTTTTATATACAACTATGTCTAGTAAATTATCAGATATATAAGTTCAGTTCATGCCGCTTTGAATTTTCAAACCTACTTATCCAAGCGCATAATAAGGTATCTTACATTCATTACAAAAAATATCATTTATAATCCATGTGCCAAACCATCTTCTAAATGTTTCACCTATGCTATCTCATTTAAATGCCACAGCATTTTTATGAGCAATATAGTAATAATATCCCCACTTTATGGATGAGTCTACTGAGGTATATGTAGAGATTACATCTCATTTTTGTAGTATGGATATATAAGCAAAACTCAGATTAGACACGAGGGAGTCTAACTCTAAAACTCATGCTATAACTAATAGAATGAACTTTTCTGATATTAAAACCAAACTCATTATCTCTTCCTTTTAACCTGATTCTTCCAAAAAGAGCCTACCCTTCTTTCTTTGTTTCTCATTTTAGATTATAGAGGTATATTCTATCTAAATCTAGTTTTCCTCAAGTTATCATTCTTCTTTGCCTCCTGTATCCATCCAGTCAATTTTCAAGTCTTACCATTCTCTCTACCCTAGTGCCTTTATCTTCTCCCACCAGTATTATTTCAGCAATTTCCTAATTAGTAGTATCCCATATTGATGCACTCTTCCTCTCTGAACAAATATTCTACACTGTTCTTAAAGATAAACCTGATTCTAAACATATTAGAAAAACTTAAACTTGTGATCCATTGCTAACTTGATAAAGTTAGGTGAAGTTTATTGTGACTCACAAGCTCATAGTTTCTCTCATATAAAAACCCAAAATACAGTGGACCCTTGACTTACGAACTCTGTTTGTTCCTGATGGCTAGTTGTTACTCAACTTGGTCAGTTGCCTTCAAGGTCTTTCTCCTGTTTAATTTTAGGCCACACTTTCTTCCCAGCAGATATCTGTGTCCTTGGAAAGACACTGGCCTAGGATTTCTGAATTAACTCCACACAGGAAAGAATATTATAGTAATTCTTCTAGAACGCTTTAAATTCGTATCTGAGACCTTCTGGCACAAGCATCTGGCATTCAGGTTGTAACTCAAGACTTTGTAAATTACAGTTAAAATTCTGGTTGTAACTCAAGCTGTAACCCATTTGTCAAGCCGATTGTAACTGAGGGTCCACTGTATATAAAAAAGTAGCAAAATAAAAGATACATAATAGGAAGCAGAGAGATAGATCTTTTGCAAAAGGAAAGGGAAACAAGACATGAAGGAAAAAGGTGGAATGATTTTGTACTATAAGAGGAAAACAGTTAACTCACACTCTTTTAAAGATTTATATACTTAGAATTTGAGCATACCATTTTTGTTTTTGATTTCGTTTTAACGTATTTATTATAACAGATGCAGTTCACATCTAGCTTTTGTTTTCTCTTTCCCCTCCCACAACCATATTTGTTGGGCCATTTCCTTGTAACTGAGCAGTCAATGAATGTACTTGCAGTATACATGGCCACCAGTAGTTTTAAATCTGTTCTTACAGGGTGCAGATGGATTTCAATAATTTATACAAACAAGTGAGTTAATGCTCAATCACTGCAAATTTAAACTATTGTAGAAGTTATTCAAGAATGAATTCTGTAGTTCTTTGGACCTTAGGTTTTAAAGATTAGAATATAAGTCTTTTTCCTTAAGTCTCCAGTGTAGAGCTATTCGATCTATAATTTCTGCATTGTACTATATTCATGTTGTTCTATATGGCAGTTTTGAGCTCCATGTAGATTTTGAATATGTAGACTATGGCAAGTGAAACTGAACAGCTGAATGCTTAACTTAATTGTTATTAAATTAAACTGTGATGAGAGGTACTATTGTGTGTATGTGTATATTCACATGTGTGCATGTATTTGCATTATATGCATACCAAGTAGAGAGGAGCATAGCTGAAATTAAAGGAGGGGGAGTATAGGAACCATTATTTTGGATCATAGAAGTCTATACATATGTTACTGCTTAGAATGTCTACTCACTGAGTTTTAACCCAATCCAATAATTATTTTCTACTTTTGCTGTTTTTGTTTATATTTCATGATATATTCTGATAACTTCTTTATGTACTAGGTAATATACTGTTAAACTAATTGTATGTCTTTCTATAGTTTTAAAGTAGATATTCTTAGTATATTCAGCATAAAATTTTATTATTTTATTCATCGTTGAAATCTTTTGTTGATGAATTTATGAATGGAATTTGTAATACATCTGAATGGACCTTAAATTTTCTGTATTTGTAATAAGGTGATGATATTTAGAAACATGAGTCTTCTCAGTGCCTCCTGACTTTATGTAAGTTGGTTATCTGCTTTGAGCTTCACTTCTTCATCTGTAAAATGAGGATACTGGTAATACTTCTCTTGTATGCTTTTTTTGAGGATGAAATTAGATAGTTTTGTTTTGTTTTTTGGTACTGGGGATCGAACTCGGGACCATGCGCTTGTGATGCAGGCGGTAGAAACCCTGAGCTAAATCCCTGGCCCAAGGATGAAATTAGAGAGTTAATTATATAAGAACCTTATACATTTTTGTGTAATTAATAGTAACAATAATAATAGTTTGAAAATTTACATCCACACAGTGATTATTTCATGCTCATAATTAAGTGATATATTCTGCTTTTAAGCTAATTATAATTTATTGAAATTTGTATTCATAGTAACAATTATTTCAATTTTGGATTGATATGTTCCTGTTCTCTGAAAAAGGCAGTGACTATGGCATAAAGGATGGAAATACTTAAGATAACTTTTTTGTTTTTCACATTCAGGCAATAAAAACATTTCTAAAAAGGAGTAATATTTGAGAAATTAAGTTAGAAAAATATGTATACATATATATATATATATATATATGACTATCTCATGTTATTTATAATTAATTAGATTTCTGTTAGAATTTGATAAATACTAAAGGGTGCATTGATAAGCCTTTGCTTTTATTGTTTAAACTACTTCAATGTGTCTCATTATTTGAGACTATAATTTATAGATTCAACTTCTGTTTTCATATTAACTATATATTTATACATTATATGTAACAGGTGAGCATTGCAGCATTTATTTTATTTAGTATAAAATAATTTTTATGTTGCTGTGTTCATTAATTTTGACTTTTACTATTTTTAATGTCTCTTTATCTAAATACTTTCATTTGTGTAAAGGTACTTTTACAAGAATCATTAACTTGTTTCTTATGGAATGTTCTCTATACTTGTAGGCTATTATTACAAGCCATTAAGCTACAATTTCTTCTGGCAAAAACAACCCTAGCAGAAGGCAACTTTTCTCTCTATTAATTTTGAATTGGGCATGTACTTTGGCTTGTTCAGTCATGTCATAGTTGTAATACAATAATAATCACTCAAGCAAATAAAATAATATAGAACTGTACATAGTATGTAAACTTTGTATATCTGTTAAGGTAATATCAATTCTATGCCAAATATTTAGCCAGTTGTTGCTTTTATCTTGATATGTGGACATTGCTTGAAATTGGAGTACCTTGTACAGTTGTCATTTAGATGTCTTGCAGTGTAACAAATAACCTGAGTTTCCCCTTTTAAAACATGAAACTTTTGATTTTTTGTAACTGGATGTAAAATAGATGATCTCCTCAAAAGTGGCTTAGCTATGTCAAAAATAGATACAAAAGTAAAAGCAATATACATTTTAATCTTTTCTTTCTACTTTAAAAAAAAAGCCCTATCATAATGATAAATCTGGAGAGCCAGGTGTGGTGGTAGGGATATCAGCACTTGGGAGGTTAAGGCAGGAGAATCAACACAGATTCAAGGCCAGCCTAGAGTACACAGTGAATTCAAGGCCAGCCTTGAAGTAGTGAGACTATATCACAAAGAACTCTATGGAAGACAAGTTAAAATACTTTTGAAATTTGTTTTTGCTTCTATGCCCTTGATTTATTTATGTTGTTTCTATAGATACATAACATTTTTACTAAGTTTGGTATTTTCCATGAGTTCCCTTGCATTCAGCTCTTTGAACACTCTACTACTCACTACATACTAAATATAATCAATTTAGATATATAGCTCTTCAACTAATCTGTATGCTAGTTGCCTTAGATTTGAGTAGCATTTTCAAAAATGCTATTGTTGTATAATGAATGGACTACATGAAAATTAGCATTTTATTGATTCCCTTCTAATTTACAATTTCCAGAAAGTAAGTCCTCTTTTATGATAGGGAGCTTTTAAATCAGAAAGTAAGAAAAGCAAAAGTCATTTTCTAGTATCAATATAATTAATGAAACATTTCATTGGAAAACAAGCCCTCATCTATACTTTATTATGCAGTGCATTTTAGTATTGGTGTCACAGTGTGTTCCGGTTGATATTAATTCAGTTACATTAACTTTTCACGCTTACCAAGTTAATTTATTTTAATTATATATTTTAGTATTCTGTGCAAATTCATCCCGATTAGAGGATGGAAAAAGCATAAATTAATGATTTCCCCAAGTTATCACTGTTTCTTGATAAATATTAGGGTACTTTATAACTTTATTTTATTTATTTTAGTAAAGTATTTATAACCATGGAGAATTGAGGGCAATGGTACTCTAAGGACAGCTGGATGAAAGATACATTTCATAATCATTTCAAAGGCTCTATATGTGTATTTTCTGAGCTTTGGGTTTCTCAGAGTGAGTTAATGTTTTCTGTGTTGTTCAGCAAAGCATGCACACTTGACCATCATTACCTCTTTGTTAGAATTAGTTTGAACATTAGAAACTACAGTTAATTTTTTGTTTATAATCTAAGAATGATCATCATTATACATGTAGATATATTTGCATTTTTAAATTTTATTATATATGTATTAATGTCTTTAGTGAGTGCATTATTTGAGTGTATTAAGTAAATAGTTCCTCAATTTATTTCAGTGCATTTTCTCTAAGCAAAATTTCCTTTCTTATTACAGGTGGCCTGCATGCAGTTTATCAATGCCCTTGTCACTTCTCCATATGAACTTGATTTTCGAATACATTTAAGGAATGAATTCCTTCGTTCAGGACTAAAAGCAATGTTACCAGTAAGTTGTGTACATACATTTATTATGCTGATAAACCGTATCATTTTTTTCAAGCAGGGTATGTACATGTGCCTTGCTATTTTTGTGATAAATAATTAGAAATTTTGTAAGCTTTTATATATTGCAGTAATAGTTTCAGTATACAAATGATTCAGGATTTAAAATGCACCTATTGATGTATATGTGTTTCAAGTTTTTTGGCTTCTTCAAGTCAATAGGGAGCTTCTTTGAATTTTAACTATTGAGAACATAAAAGATTATGCTTCTAAAGAAAAAGACCTTATTTCTTAAATATAAATATTTGTTATAATTATGAAAATGTTAAATATTTTTTGAAAAATTATTTGCTTCTAAGATAAATCAGCATGTTCTAATAATATAGCTACGGTGGCTCTGTACTTTATTTTATTATTCATATTAACTGAAGAGTGACTTTTTTAAAGACACAGATATTTTTAAAAGGAGATACAAGGTTAATTGAAATACAAAAATTAGGAGTTAGCTGGTGAGGAACCAGTAAGTGTATACTCTGTATATGTAAATTTTGATTGACTACTCTTCACTAAAACTGATTATAAGTTTTATTAGTGGGTCTATTTGGTTTCAGAAATTTGTGTGTTGACATTGTCTTGAATGATTCTTTAATTCTTAATTTTAAAGACCAAGGAATTGGCTGCATTGTTCACGGGAACATTTATAATGACCCATGTAGAGGTTGAATGTGCAGTTAAGATAGGTGAATATGCAAAAGGATTATGGCATTTACAGCATGTGTTTATTCTTGTTTTATCACTAATCTCTCCTTTTGAAAAGCTGCTGGCCTTAGAAAGTTAGAGAAATTCTTGTCTAGTTTGCTTTCGAGTTGCTTTTTTATTGGTTTCCCTGCTTGTTCTTACTGGAATGTTTCTCTTTTTTTCCTACAGAAGTGTTGTCTGGACACTTGGTGGTTGCAGGGGCTCTTTAGCATTTTGTACTCAGTTACTAATATGACATATTTTCTGGCTTAATTGTTGATAGTACTCTTCTCGTCTTTCTATTGCCTTTATGTCTAATTTAACATTTTTTTCCTTATACTGCTGAATGGCTAGTGAAGAAATCTATGATTCTCATTTTAATTTATTTTGATTCTCATAATTTTTTAAGAATGGATTTTTTTGAGACAGGGTTTCACTATGCAGCCCAGGCTTGGGAACTTGGGCTGATGCTCGTGCCTCAGCCTTCTGAGTCCTGGGGTTATAGGTGTGCTCCACCACATTTGGCAGTTTGCATCATTTAAAAAATGATAGACAAGATAACTCTTGTCTTTACCTTTTGCCTTTTCATCTGAATATATTAATCTTTTCCAGGCTTAGTGATCTCATAATATGTTGCTCATTTGATTGCTAAGACAACCTAAGACTTTAATTAGTGTTTATAAGCTATGCTTTTCGGTTGGCCATTTACCCTGTACGAGGCCTTTTATAGGAGAAAGTACTTCTTACTACATGTATTCTTCATGAGTTCTGCATCACTGTTGTTTCTCCCTGGAGTTCCTGATCCTGAGGGCACGTCTTGTGTCTGTGGTTGCAGGTTCTCCTTCCCAGGAGCCAGAGTGAACTTCCAGACTGCTTTGTTCTTTTCTCTGCATTGTGCTCCCTTTCTCTAGCGTCTCTGTAGGTTCTAGTTTTCCTTTCAGCTCCCTCCTGATTCCTGGAATCAACAGGTACTTATTTTTTAACTTTTTCCTCCAAGTTATTTTCTAGGTGTCTGGACTCTGGGCCCCCAAGAGGCTGTCTTTTGTGGCCGATCTTGACTCTGCCATTTTTCTTCTTTATTTGCCTTGTCGTTAGGTAAATAAGTAAACTTTAGGTAAATTGGATACATAAAGGAAGAATGTAGTGAGAAATTGTTTTTGTAGGCTATGGGCATACTTTATCATTTTTAAAAGACCGATGAGCCCTTTTTAAGTCTTTTGAAAACTTGACTGGTAATGGCTGGTAATGACTAGTGTACTGGTAATGGTGTTTGATTTACTCTGAAGTGCATTGAAATACAAAAACTTATTTTATGTTTCAGGTATTGTGCAAAACGATGTTTCATAACTATGCAGTAATTCTGTTAAAGAAACAAGCATGTATATAATTTCATATGCTAGTGATAGTGTAATTCAGAAAATTTTATGATATCCTTCATTTCATAATATACTTTTTTTTTTTTTTTTTTTTTTTTTTTTTTTTTT